TTTTAATATAGGAAATAATAATAGTGAAAGTTTTAATAGTGACATTGGTAAAAAATCAAATTATAATTTAAATTCATTTGTTTTATTGGACACGGATGAAAGTAAAGTAGAACAATTAATTGACAATTTGAAAACAGAATGCTCAGTTGGTTGGGATGGAATTTCAAATATATTTATTAAAAATTTTAAATATTTGTTAATACCTCCTTTAACTTATATATTTAACCAATGTCTAAATTATGGTGTATTCCCTAGATATCTTAAGAAGTCCGTAATTCGACCTATTTTTAAAGATGGTGACAAAACCTGTATAAGTAATTATAGACCTATCTCTATTTTACCTGCTTTGTCAAAACTTTTAGAGAAAATTATAAATAATAGACTTACAAAATATCTGGAGAAAAATAAGTTACTGTCAAATACACAGTTTGGTTTTAGACATGGCAAATCGACAGAGCATGCCGTTCATACTCTTACAGATTTTATATCATCGAATTTAGATAGTGGAAAAAAGTGTATCTCAGTTTTCTTAGATTTGGCCAAAGCATTCGATACCGTTTCAATAAAAATACTATTAAAACGACTAGAAAATCTCGGTATCAGAGGCATTCAACTCAAATTATTTAAAAGTTATCTTTCTGAGAGATATCAATGCGTTGGTGTAAATAATATTAATAGCAATGATTTATTAGTAACCCATGGAGTGCCACAAGGAAGTATACTCGGACCAACCTTATTTCTTATTTATATTAACAATTTAACAAAATTTGATCTCTCTCAGGGACATATAATTTCATATGCAGATGACACTGTTCTGATATTTGCGGCGGATACATGGAGAGATGTATTCTTATTAGCACAGGCAGGTATAAATGCAATTACTAATTGGCTTTACAGTAATAAACTCTCACACAATATTAGGAAAACAAAATATATAGTCTTTTCATTAAGAAAACCTAGTCGTAATCTTGAAAATTTTAACTTAGTGATTCATTCATATAATTGCTCAACAAGACACAATAGCTGTTCCTGCCTTTCACTTGAGTCTGTTGAATATATTAAATATCTGGGGGTTATAATTGATAGTAATTTAAATTTTAAACAACACATTAACACACTTAGCAGAAGAATTCATAAACTTATATATATCTTTAAAACTATTAGACACGTATTGGATCCAGATATATTAAAACGAGTTTACTTAGCTTTATATCAGTCTATTATAACATACTGCATATCAACGTGGGGTGGAGCTTCTAAAACGGTGTTACAAAATATTGAGATCTCTCAACGTGCTATTCTCAAAGTGGCAACATTTAAACCTTTCCTATACCCTACATCACAACTTTATGATAACTGTCAGGTCCTTACGGTAAGACAACTGTTTATATTAACGATCATTCAGAAACAGCATAGTTTATTGCTATACAACCCAACGAACTTAAATAAACGCAGGAAATTTTCTGTAGATACAACTAATTTTAAAACAACTTTTATAAGAAGATTCTTTGCATTTTTAGGACCACACTTATATAATAAACTAAATAAAACATTAGACATTTACCACCTTAATAAAGTAGACTGTAAAAAAACTGTACAGATTTACCTACAAAAATTAAATTATAATGAAACTGAAAACCTTCTTAGTATTCAGAATTAAACATAGATTCTTATATAACTCACACACAATGCTACCCGTATAAAAGTAATAATATCAAAACACACACACACACACACACACACACACACACACACACACACACACACGCACGCACACACACGCACACACACACACACACACACACACACACACACACACACACACACACACACACACACACACACACACACACACACACGCACGCACACACAAACATATACACACACATTTTACACACTAGACTCCTTAAATTGCTCACACACATTACACTCATTACACAAATACTTCTTACAGTCATACATTACACATCTTAGGAGAGAGGAATGACATTATTAGTATAAATTATTTTCTTTTTTGTGCCTTATATATATTATATATAGTATAAGTAATAACTTAGCATATGGAACATAACATGTGATCCATTAAATTTCATTGTACCTAGGCTATGTTAGCATAAGGTACAAACTCGTTAAACAATATTAATTAATTAACTTTTGCTTGCATCCTAATATTCATGTAAATTAACGGTGGGGATATGGCGCTGACAGCTGATGCACAGGTCTCCTAGTTCGGCTGCAGATGCTTTTTCAAATATATGTACAAAATTAGCTTTATTAAGTGTTAAGCAAATATCTGGTTGTACTATGTACCTTTTTGGAAATAAAGAATTATTATTATTATTATTATTATACAGATGAAAACTGCTATGTAGCCCTTCGATGATCTTGCACTTCGAGTTTTCTTGGCCTTGACTTCTATGAAACCGTTGTAATCTACCCCCGTATGGAAGAATGGCGGCGCAAGCTCCATTCGTGCAGGTGGAAAATCACCCATCAAGCTGCGGGTCAAAGAGTCTCGAAATTTCAGACAGCAATCTTCTTTTTTTAAGGGTAATGTTTCTTTTGGTATTTTATGTTGAAATAAAAATGTATCGTCCTTCGAATCCCAGCATAATCCTAATAGTTTTGAAACGTTTTCGGTTTCAAAATTATACACCTCTCTCTGTTCTGTCTCTGTTATGATTCCTTGTTGTTTTATGTTTTCTAAAAGCTGTGAATCGTGTGACGACCATTTTCGCAAATTGAAACCTCCTGACTTCATCAGTAGTTTTAAATCAGATATAAGTTCTTCTATGGACGATGTTCCATATAAAAGATCGTCCATAAAAAATGCTGATTCGACAATTTTTGCCGCTTCTGGAAAACTTGCTCGTTCGTCAGCTACTAGTCTTCTCACGATCATCATGGCTAGAAAGGGTGCCGCTCGTGTCCCGTAAGTGACTGTTATTAAGAAAAATGTTTGTATAGACTCCTCAGGAGTTGTGTATCGCTAGCAACGCAAAGTCGGGAATTTGTATTTGGAAAAATCCAAAATTAGGGGCTTTTTAGGTGCTAATTAGGTGCCAAGTTTAAAAATTAGGTGCTCTAAAATTTTCACCGCAACGAACTGTTGAAATTTGCGTTGCTAGCAAAACGTCTCGCTAGCAACGCAATGAAGTTATTAGATACACGTTAAATATTAATAGCAAGGAATTAAGTGCTAATTAGGTGCTGCAAGTATACGCAATGACAAGGCGCCCTATAAAGTCGTTATTCCAAACAAAGCAGATGCAAAATTCAGATTTTCTGAAAATCAGAAAATATTCAAAAATGCTTTTAGAAAAAGCACAAAATAAGGGCTTTTTAGGTGCTAATTAAGTACGAAGTTTAAAAATTAGGTGCTTTAAAATTTTCACGGTAACGATCGATTGAAAGTGATGATGAAGTTCCATTGGTAAGGTTGGCAGACTTGAGTGTAGGTGCGATACGTACCTGAGCAGCGCGCGGGCGCTGCGCGGCGCTGCGGGCGGGCCGCCCGGCCCCTCGCAGCACAGCAGCGCGTCCCACGGCCCGCTGCGACACGCGAACTGCTCCACAGCGCTCCTCGTCCACCCGCAGCATGGCTACGTACCTGAGCAGCGCGCGGACGCTGCGCGGCGCTGCGGGCGGGCCGCCCGGCCCCTCGCAGCACAGCAGCGCGTCCCACGGCCCGCTGCGACACGCGAACTGCTCCACAGCGCTCCTCGTCCACCCGCAGCATGGCTACGTACCTGAGCAGCGCGCGGACGCTGCGCGGCGCTGCGGGCGGGCCGCCCGGCCCCTCGCAGCACAGCAGCGCGTCCCACGGCCCGCTGCGACACGCGAACTGCTCCACAGCGCTCCTCGTCCACCCGCAGCATGGCTACGTACCTGAGCAGCGCGCGGACGCTGCGCGGCGCTGCGGGCGGGCCGCCCGGCCCCTCGCAGCACAGCAGCGCGTCCCACGGCCCGCTGCGACACGCGAACTGCTCCACAGCGCTCCTCGTCCACCCGCAGCATGGCTACGTACCTGAGCAGCGCGCGGACGCTGCGCGGCGCTGCGGGCGGGCCGCCCGGCCCCTCGCAGCACAGCAGCGCGTCCCACGGCCCGCTGCGACACGCGAACTGCTCCACAGCGCTCCTCGTCCACCCGCAGCATGGCTACGTACCTGAGCAGCGCGCGGACGCTGCGCGGCGCTGCGGGCGGGCCGCCCGGCCCCTCGCAGCACAGCAGCGCGTCCCACGGCCCGCTGCGACACGCGAACTGCTCCACAGCGCTCCTCGTCCACCCGCAGCATGGCTACGTACCTGAGCAGCGCGCGGACGCTGCGCGGCGCTGCGGGCGGGCCGCCCGGCCCCTCGCAGCACAGCAGCGCGTCCCACGGCCCGCTGCGACACGCGAACTGCTCCACAGCGCTCCTCGTCCACCCGCAGCATGGCTACGTACCTGAGCAGCGCGCGGACGCTGCGCGGCGCTGCGGGCGGGCCGCCCGGCCCCTCGCAGCACAGCAGCGCGTCCCACGGCCCGCTGCGACACGCGAACTGCTCCACAGCGCTCCTCGTCCACCCGCAGCATGGCTACGTACCTGAGCAGCGCGCGGACGCTGCGCGGCGCTGCGGGCGGGCCGCCCGGCCCCTCGCAGCACAGCAGCGCGTCCCACGGCCCGCTGCGACACGCGAACTGCTCCACAGCGCTCCTCGTCCACCCGCAGCATGGCTACGTACCTGAGCAGCGCGCGGACGCTGCGCGGCGCTGCGGGCGGGCCGCCCGGCCCCTCGCAGCACAGCAGCGCGTCCCACGGCCCGCTGCGACACGCGAACTGCTCCACAGCGCTCCTCGTCCACCCGCAGCATGGCTACGTACCTGAGCAGCGCGCGGACGCTGCGCGGCGCTGCGGGCGGGCCGCCCGGCCCCTCGCAGCACAGCAGCGCGTCCCACGGCCCGCTGCGACACGCGAACTGCTCCACAGCGCTCCTCGTCCACCCGCAGCATGGCTACGTACCTGAGCAGCGCGCGGACGCTGCGCGGCGCTGCGGGCGGGCCGCCCGGCCCCTCGCAGCACAGCAGCGCGTCCCACGGCCCGCTGCGACACGCGAACTGCTCCACAGCGCTCCACGTCCACCCCACGTCATCGTTCATCTCCAACTCTATGAACTCTGTCGCCCCTGTAACGGCAAACTATTTATTTATTTGTTTGTTACACGAGATATTATATTCCAGGTGTATGTCTCAAGTTTCAAACAATAATGTAAATCAACGCATTTACTAAAGATGCATTATCTATACAAATAAACAAAATTTAAGTGTCTGTTTGTAATGCCGAAATCACAGCTTTTTACTAAATGCATATGAAAGTACATACGGTACTTATAACAAAAACACGATTATTAAAAATTTTTGCTGTCTGTCTTCTTGTGTGTTTGTTCCGGCTAATCTCCGAAACGGCTGACAGATTTTGACCGGACTTTCACTGGCAGATAACTGATGTTATAAGAAGTAACTTAGGCTACTTTTATTTTCGAAAAATAATTAGGGTTCCTCGCACAAAATTAAAACCCTAAAATTACACGCGGGCGAAGTCACGAGGAACAGCTAGTGTGAAATAAGAATAGAAGGGAAGGTTATGTGAAATAAGAATAGATTGAGCAAGTGCATGAGTTTGTATATTTGAGATGTTTATTTAGCAGGCATGGTAGATATGATAAGGATATAGAACGACAAGTGAACGCAGGAAATAGAGTAAATGGGGCTCTACACGCTATTATGAAGAGTCAGAATTTGTCAAAGAAGGCACGTATGGCAATTCATTATACTGTGTTAGTCGTTACTTTAATGTATGGTAGTGAAAGTTGGGTCGGGCAGAAGAAGCATGAGAGTAGAATAAATGCTGTAGAAATGCGGTCATTAAGGAGTATGCTAGGGCGGAATTTCAATGACAGGGTGAGAAATAGTGTGATAAGAGAAAAGTGTGGTTTGCAGGATGACGTTGTGACCAGGATTAAGAAGGGAATGCTTCGGTGGTTTGGTCAAGTAGAAAGAATGAACGAAGATAGAGTGACAAAGCAAATTTATGTTGCAGAGGTGAACGGCAGAGTCGGGAAGGGATGCTCTAGGCAAAGGATTATCGACGAAATCGGCGATACATTGAAAATGGGCCAGATTAGGAGTACCCTTAACCGACGAACGTGTATGCGTAGACAAAGAGAATATATTCACTACGTTTATGCGTAGATATATGGATGTAAAGGAGGCGAGAGAGGTGTGTCAGGATCGCGCCAAATGGAAGTCCGTTGTCTCTGCCTACCACTCTGGGTGACAGACGTGACTGTTTGTGTGTTATTATACACCTTATTTTAAGCAATACAAAGGGCGGAGTTAATGCCTTATGGCATTCTCTATCAGTCATCGATCGAGTTTTTCTGATCAAAACCTGCGGTCGTAGTTTAGTCGTAGGCAATCGACGCACACAACGACAGTATCGACCTATTGAATTAACTGAAATAGATCCGTCCCCGTGGCATTATCCGAAGTCCGAATAGAGGGGGAGGACACGGTAATCCTCGAATCCGGCAACTTGCTCTATCACCGGGAGGGCGACCATCTGTCCCAAGGAGGTGTCGGATATATCGTCCACAAGTCTCTCGTTAACAACGTTGTAAAGATCGAGAGTGTGTCGACGAGGGTTGCGTACCTTATAGTCAGAATCACCAAACGGTATTCCCTGAAGGTCATACAGGTTTACGCACCAACCTCGGCACACCCCGATGAGGAGGTGGAGGAAATGTATGAGGATATCTCTAGAGCCATGCATTCCTCCAAAACCCAATATACGGTGTTAATGTGAAACTTCAATGCAAAACTGGGCACAAGAGAGAACGGTGAGCTGAAAGAAGGGAAATTTGGAATAGGGCAACGGAACCCAAGGGGCCAGCAGCTGGCCGACTTCATGGAGAAAGAGGGACTCTTTATGATGAACTCTTTCTTCCAGAAGCGACCCCACAGGAAGTTGACCTGGTCGAGCCCCGACGGTTCGACAAACAATGAGATTGACTTCATTATGACGACCGGACGACAACTGTTCAGTGATGTCTCCGTGATCGCGAGGGTGAAAACTGGTAGCGATCACCGAATGGTGACAGGCACACTGAACCTAAACGTTAAGTTGGAGAGGTCTCGTCTAATGAAGTCAACGCTCCGTCCCCCTCGTGCTCTGTTCCAAAGTCCTGAAACCTTTCAGCTCGAGTTACAAAACGGTTGAAAAAAATGAATGACAAGCTCGTGGAAACTGTCCATGCGATCGGAGCTAAGTTCTGCAAGACCCACCGCAGAAGAACACAAAAACTCTCCGATCACACTCTTAATCTCATGGCTGTTAGACGGGAGATGAAGCTACAATCTTCAACAGATTTGACAGCATACAGGCAACTGAACAGACAGCTCTCCAAATGCATGCGGCGGGACTTACGCAACTTCAATACAGCTTGTATTGAAGAAGCGATCGAGCGGAACCAAGGCTCCAAAGTCCTTGCCTATGATCTGTCTGCCAGAAAGAGCCAACTGTCAAGCCTCAGCCTTGACAGTTGGCTCTTAAGCTGAAGACGGAGTGTGGCAGCATCGTTTCCGGGGCACCTGAGATTTTGAGTGAGATTGAGAGGTTCTACGGGCAGCTGTACACTATTGTTTTTTTTATTATATAGGAGAGGGGGCAAACGAGCATGCGGCTCACCTGATGGTAAGTGACTACCGCCGCCCATGAACAACCGCAACACCTGGGGAATTGCAGATGCGTTGCCGGCCTTTTAAAAAGGAGTAGGCTCTTTTCTTGAAGGTCCCTAAGTCGTATCGGTCCGGAAAAATCGCTGGTGGTAAACTATTCCACAAGGAAGTTGTGCGAGGAAGAAAACATATTCTAAATCGCACAGTGGTGGACCGCCAATCATCCAGATGGTGTGGATGGTATCGGGAGTTCTGCCGCGATGTGCGTTCGTGAAATTTGGCGGCTGGGATTAAACCGAACAATTCCTCAGAGCACTCCCCATGGTAAATGCGAAAGAAAATGCTAAGAGATGCAACATCTCTTCGCAGTGCCAATGAGTCGAGCCGATCGGAAAGGACTCGGTCGTCGACGATTCGAGCCGCTCTGCGCTGGATGCGGTCAAGTGGAAGAAGCTGGCACTGGGGAGCCCCAGCCCAGAGATGGGAACAGTATTCCATGTGAGGCCGAACCTGCGCCTTGTAAAGTTGCAGGTGTTGAGCCGGCATGAAATACTGTCCCGCTCTGCTGAGCACGCCAAGCTTTATAGAGGCCAATTTGGCCTTCCCTTCCAAGTGACCACGAAACTTGCACGCTACTCGATATGTCGACGCCGAGGATTCCGATACTGGCTGAGGCAACAAGGGGAGTACCTTGAAACTGAGGAGATACGACAAAGGGGTTCTTTTTAGCGGTAAACGCGCAAATTTGTGTCTTCTGAGGATTAAACTGGACTAGATTTAGTCGCCCCCAATCCGAGACTTTGTCCAGCAAAGACTCGACTTCGGACACAAGTTTGTTCCGGTACTCGGTGACGTTTTCCCGAGAAATATTGGCACGGCCGGTGTATAGAGCATCACCAGTGCTGTCATCTGCATAGCAATGAATGCTACCAGCTTGCAACATATCATTGATATGCAGAAGAAACAGCGTTGGTGATAGCACGCAGCCTTGTGGAACACCAGCGTTAATAGGCTTGTAGTTGGAGCATGCACCGTCTACAACGACCTTGATGCTCCGATCTGCAAGAAAGCTGGTGATCCAATTGCATAATTTCTCGGGAAGCCCATAGGAAGGGAGCTTCGAAAGAAGCGCTTTGTGCCAAACCCGATCGAAGGCCTTCGCAATGTCCAAACTAACGGCCAATGCCTCCCCCTTGGACTCTACTGCCAACGCCCATCTATGAGTTAAGTAGACCAGAAGATCACCAGCTGATCGACCCCGACGAAAACCGTACTGGCGGTCACTAATCAGCTGGTGATCCTCAAGGTACCGCATGAGGTGGCAGTTTACAACGGATTCCATTATTTTGGAGAACAAGGGGGTGATGGCGATAGGCCTGTAGTTGGACGGATCTGAGCGGTCGCCTTTTTTAGGGATCGGGTGGACAAAAGCTGTCTTCCATGATTTCGGGACTACGCCTAGGGAGTAGGAGTACCGGAAAAGACGCGTTAGAACCGGTGCCAACTCCGGAGCACACATCCTCAGCACAATTGGGGGGATTCCGTCAGGCCCACTCGACTTGTGGATGTCAAGGGAGAGGAGTGCTCTGCGAACCGAGCGCTGTGAGAATCGCACATCCGGCATGGAGCACTCACACCGCGGGATGGTCGGCGGTGTGTTCCCCCCGTCATCAACAGTCGAGTTGGACGCAAAAAGGGAGCCTAAAAGGTCGACCTTCTCTTTTGCGTCGTGGGCCAGTGAGTCGTCCTCCCTGTGCAGAGATGGTAGTGATGGCTTACAGAAATTCCCTTGGACAGCCTTGGCGAGAGACCAGAATGCACGGGTTCCCGAAGGAAGGCGAACTAGTTTCTCGCCAATTCTGCCTATGTGCTCTGACTTTGCCTTGGCAATAACTCTTTTGAAGGACCTGGAGGCGAAGATATACTTCTTTTCGAGTGTGCTGGTGTTTACATCCCGAGTCACCGAAGCCGCAGCCGCACCGAACACTCCTGCTTACTGCGTAATGCAGTCTTACAGGAGCGACCAAACCAAGGCTGAGATCTGCCTCCGATGGGTACCACAGATGATGGAATAAATAGTTCCATTCCCTGTAGCACTACATCAATGACAGAGTCAGCAACAGCGCTGGGATCATCCGGCGAGAAGCAAACCCGCCCCCATGGGTAGGAAGCAAAGAAAGACCGCATTCCGTCCCAATCCGCCGACCTGTAATGCCAAACACGGCGGCAACCTGCAGAACGCAACCGCGAGGGGAGCGTGAGTGGCACCACACTCCGGATCAGACAATGGTCCGAAGAGCCAAGAGGGGCATCGACGGAAACCTGATATCCGTCCGGAGGAGAGGTCAGCAGAAGGTCCAACAGGGAAGGTGTATGATCCTCAACATCTGGAATCCGCGTAGGCGATGTAACCAGTTGTGTCAGACCATATGCCAAGGCAAAGTCATAAACAAATCTCCCCGCATGGTCGGTTAAACGTGAACCGAGCCATTCGGCGTGGTGGGCGTTAAAATCGCCAAGGATCACGATCTCTGTGGATGGGACCTGTTGTAGCAAGGAATCTGTAGCCATTTGGACGTGGTCGATGAGTCGGTCTGTTTCGGCATTACCGCTATGGGACCTATAGAGGCACACGTAGACGCGCGGATGGTCGTCGCTGTCTACGCGTAGCCAAAGGATGGACAGGTCCGAACCTTCAAGACTGTCGAGGCGTCGAGAACAGATGTCCTCTCTGACATACACGCAAACTCCAGCCCGAGGCACAAAGGAGTGCTCCAATTTGTACCCCGGGTAGGAGAGATACGAAGTATCAGCCGGAGAGGACACCTGCGTCTCGGTCAGAAAGAGCAAGGCCGGCTTCGCCGTCTCAAGATGGTAGTGGACGGCGTTTAGGTTCGAGTGAAGTCCCCTGATGTTGCAGAAATTCACGGATAGCGTGGCAGGGGTCGCCTTGGTCTTGTTGCTCAGTTTGCTCCGAGCAGTTATTGTGTTGAGCGGAATTTTGCCCCCCCCAGAATACGCGGGGCAGCCTGAGCACCCACGCTCAGGAGTGGAATAGCATGGTCGTGGATGCTCAGCGAGGGATTCTGCAGGGGTACTGGTACCCTCCTGGGGTAGTTTATGACGTAATTCCGCTACCATGTTGATGGGGGGGGGGGGGAATTGGGCATCCGGTCACCTGCACTCACCAGACGAAACGCGGAAGCAGAACTTCCACTTCACGCCGGTATTCTGTGAGGTCGTGGTACTAACCCGGCTCGAGCCGGCCCATACGTGCAACAGCAAAAGCTGCTGCAAGGCTCTACCACCGTTAAAATTCGAAGATGTCCCGGACGTCAGTTTGAGCGAGATTAGAATGGCTCTCCAGCATCTTAAAAACGGCAAGGCCCCAGGCGAGGATGGAATTACAGCGGAGCTTCTGAAAGCGGGTGGAAAACCGGTACTTCAGAAGCTCTTTAATTCCGTCCTCCATGGTGGCATTACACCGGAGGCGTGGAGCAGAAGTGCGGTGGTCTTGTTCTTCAAGAAAGGTGACAACGCTCTCTTGAAGAACTACAGACCGATTTGTTTTCGAGAGTTATTACGAATCGTCTCGCGCGCAGACTTGACGACTTCCGCTCCCGAACAAGCCGGCACATACATAACCTTCGGCAAGTTGTACAGAAGTCCGTGGAGTACAATTTGCCACTATATCTGGCGTATGTCGACTATGAGAAAGCCTTTGATTCCGTCGAAATTTGGGCGGTGCTGCAGTCCCTTCAGCGGTGCCAAGTTGACTGTCGGTATATCTTAGTGCTTGTAGAGTAGGGCTACGATGGCTATCCGAGTACAGAACCAGAGTACGAAACCTATCCAATTACAGAGAGGTGTAAGACAGGGTGACGTTATATCCCCGAAACTCTTCACCGCTGCATTGGAAGACGTTTTCAAGCTTCTGGACTGGAAAGGATACGGTATTAACATCAAGGGCGAGTACATCACTCACCTTCGATTTGCCGACGATATAGTCCTTATGGCAGAATCGCTGGAGGATCTAAGCACCATGCCACATCTTCTCGTCAGACATTCCTCAAAACCTTAAAACGAAATTATACAACCAGTGCGTGTTGCCAGTGGTGACTTACGGATCTGAGACGTGGTCCTTCACTGCTGGCCGTATGAGGAAGCTCAAGGTCCGACATAGCCCAATAAACTTAAAAAACTTAGAAATGAGGATATCCGCAGTAGAACCAGAGTGACCGACATATCCCAACGGATTAGTAAGGTGAAGTGGCAATGGGCCGGCCAAATAGCACGAAGAACCGACAACCGATGGGGAAAAAAGATTCTCGAGTGGCGGCCTCGTACCGGCGGACGAAGTGTGGTCCCACTAGATGGAGTGATAGCCTAGTAAGATACGCAGGAATTCGATAGATGCAGGTGGCTCAGGACTGTGCTTTATGGCATTCCTTGGGGGAGGACTTTGTTCAGCAGTGCGACTTGTGAAGGGCTGTAATGATGATGATGATGATTATTATTATTATTTGTATGAAGGTCAAGTGAGCGCTAGAGAAACGACGATTGCAAGACTTTGTCCATAAATAAAATGTATTGAGAAGTTATCAATTACAGTGTAGTGCCGGTGTATGAATATCCATATCATTAGTCTAGTGCCCAGTAACCCCAATATGGTTTTTAAGAGAGAGTAAATTAATTAGATTTTTGTTATTGGTTAATAAACATCGTTTCATGAATTCGTACCTATATTTTATTGAGCTAAAATATACTTACCTAATATTCACAAATACTTGCATAATCAAATTAATAACTTACGTACAATACCGCATAGGCGTCAATCTTGGCGCATCACTATTCAACCACTCCTCAACTATGTAGAACATCTGGTTACTCTTGGCGTAGTGGGCATTGAGCGATATGCGCGCTCTATACCTTCCTTATTTGTACTCTAAGTTCTGAACACTCTTAACTATTGTTCTAAGGTGTCCCTTCTAATTATTACATACTCTTTGGCGGGGTCTATAACTTTGAGTAACTTTGTTAAGCAAAAATTGTCTAGTAAGGGTTATTAATTATTATATTACTAAATAGTACATGACTGATAATAACCCCTGGGAATGAGGTGATCGCCACCATGCTGTTTCTAAATGTTTTCATAACAATTTTGTAAAATATTACAATGTAAATTGTGCTTTTTAAAAAATAGTCGCACTGGGTTTCTTGCTGGTTTTTCCCAGGACAGAGGTTCTTTGCAAACCAGTTATAAAAAGTAAAAAATTACTTTCAATAAGTATTATGTACTGTATTACATAATACTTATTGATTTATTTAAATCATCATCATCTTTACAGTCCATACAAGGCTGAACATAGGCTTCCCCGAAGACTGCCTCATAAGATACTTGTCAGAGTTCTCCACACTAGGTGTTCACACTCTTATATCATGGGGGTAGATGATATACAGAAAATTGACAAGGGCATACCCATACTTTACATTACACATAATCAGGAACAATTATTTGTAGAAAAATATTCAGCCGATGCGGCTAATACATTGCACATATCTTGTAATATCAGCGACGGTGGGTTATAGTGCGGCTGGTGTTGGCCTTGAACCACTCTAAAGCTGCGTACATTTATATATAATATAGCACGTAGCGCATAATAGGCCACAGAACAGCGACCGTCTCTTTGAATGAAATTAATAGGGTGACCATGCCATGTAATGTCCAGGTTAACTAAAAGGCTAATGAAGCTAGTTGGCTGTGACATATTTATTAAATACTCTCAAATTCCTAAATATGTAGTCTGAGTTTGTGTTTGTGTAACAGTATTTCATAACTATACCGAATTTCAATCAGCTGCTTGTACTCGTAGCATGCTCTGAGAAAATCCTTTGGGACACACTTCATAACTGTTTCAAAATTGATCCTCAATTTAAAACTTACCAAATTCATACAGAATGTTTTGGTATTTCCTCGGTGCGGATACCGAAATTCTGGCTCCTTTGCGACTGAGCAACTGCAGCAGAGCCAGACCTTCGCCAGTTGTCGCGCCGAGGATAGCCACCCTAAAAAAGAGTATTTAACTTTATAGTTAACAAGTCAGAAAGTTTAAATAAACAGTAATTAAATAACCTGACTGCGTAAAAGTTTACTGAAAAGGAAAAGTTTTAGATGTCGTCACACTACTGTCCTTTTATTAAACGCACTTTTCTTTAGTTTGTGTGAAAAATAAACCTTCGCAGCCCTATTTGTATTTGCAGATACAATTTAAATGAATTATTATATAGCCTACGTCACTCCCACACTCACACAATTAAGACAACTAAGGACACCTCAAATATTAAAATTCATCAAGCCGTTAGGCTGCAGAGCGTGCCAAAGAAATACAATAAAAAGGGAAGGGAAGGTTTTTTTTCAGTGAACTTATTAACGCAGTCAGGTTTTTATTAAATTACTGATTTAACCATTTAGCTTGTATTAAAATATTTAATAAAATCAGCTAGTTCTTCCGCAACGTTTGTCGATTCTTCGAGCAATATTGCCGGTCCATTGTGACTGATGAGATGTCATCTGTTTACTTTTTAAGCTAGGCAGAGACCCAACTGAAAACGACCTGCGCTCAGGTCGAGCGATTGAGGCAAGTCGGACAGTGTCGAAAAATTAGGGTGTCGTAAATTAAATAAATAATTTAAAATAAATTACTCAACATACAGTAAGTCGTAAAAAAGACATAAGCTGAGGCGAACCATTTTTTATAGTTTTTAGTTTACGTTAACTTGGACAAATTTTCCCAAAACAAAATTTTCGGTATTTCTTTAGTAATCTGCTGCATGAATATATGGTCGCCGAGTGGGCGAGGGAGGGGAGGGGGGAGTTGTAGAGTCACCCCCCACTTCCATTTCCTGCCGGACGTGCTTAGTTTTTTTTTTATAAATTTTTAAATATCTCATTTTGAGGTTATGTTTTCGTAATCTTTTTGACAATACAAACCTGATTTGTGGGGGGAGAGAGTTGCAGCCCAACGCTACTCAACGTGGCACAGGCGAGGGAATCTCGGTCGACAGAGCCCCGCTTTGCGGGGCTCCTATTTCTGGATAGTTTATAAAAAAATAACCACGAAGGGGATGGAGGGATCTGTTCGCTCGCTTCGCCTGTTCACTCGACCCCACCATCCCCTTCTAACCTAACTTGTCCGAGTCGGGGTGCCCCAAGTCCCGAGCTCGCTTCGCTCGCTCTAGCACCAAATAAAACACCAAAATGTTAACTTTTATAATTACTTTAATAAATAAACATATTTTATTACTTCCACCATATCCAAAAACGTCGTAAAATAGCAAGCAATCGGTCTCCAGAGGGGTCTCGAAAAACAGGAGGCAGATAATAACAATAAAGAGCACATTCACGTAAACTCGGAAGCAACGGAATTACGCTTATGACGCGAGTCGCGAAGTCGAAAATAAACGTAAAACGGAGTGATTATATTCTCTTTGGTCAAGTTTATCTGTGACTGTCAATGTCAAAAGTTCAGTTTCAGGTATTAATTAGTGATTTATGAATATTTTTAGAAAATAATTATAAATATTTCGACGCAGCTCCGGCAACTAAAATTGCATGGGAGCGCTTGAGGTCAGCCCCCTTGACCTCCCCACAGTGACAGACTCTCTAAAAATTATATTGTTATTTCGTTTTCGTATCATTTTAAAATGGATATAACCTCAAAACTATAATTATCGATATATCGAAAACTGAACATTTCCGGCATAAAAAGCAGCTAAATGGCAATCAATAGCATCATTGCCTATCACCTAAAGCTAAAATGATCACTTAAATCGTGCCGTAGATTACTAAAGCCGACCCAAATTTTCCCATTATTATTTAATTATTTTATAGCGTTTTATAACTATCACCACAATAAAAATATGTATAAAAATCACTAATAATTATTTAAATAAGTCACACTAATAAAGTCACGTTTTCTCACAGCAGTTTTTTTGGTTATATTTACTTAATTATTATAGACTACGTAAATGGCTGAGGTTTTGTATACTGGCATTTTACTAACTAATCTAGTCATGAAAATTTTTAAATATTTTAACTCAGCACACTTGACTCTGTCTACAATAGCTATGTTCATATCGTAGTTTTTCAGACGCCAGCGCTATTGTGATAGGTTTTGGAACCTTTATTTTCAGTATACAGTTGGACACTTTTTCAACTTTCCCCCCATATGAGATGGTTCTCCTTACCTCTACACTTCATGGAATAGTCACCTCAACAGTATCTTTCAAGTTGGGATCATATCTTGTATGTTGCAAAAGTTGCGGCCATTTTGGGTTGGGTTTAGAATCAAGTCACCTGAATTTGAGGAGTCTGTCACTGTGGGGGGGTCAAGGGGGCTTAAAAAGTCACAGGTCAAGCCCGTTACGCGCACGTCATTTTAGGTTTTTAGTATAGGAAAATTCCCAAGATTTACACGCACTTCGATTGATCGCATAAATATCGTCCAGTATTATGCCAACTGTCTTATTTTGAGCCTGTGTTTTCTCAGTAGTTTTTTTTTAAACATGGAAACTTTAATAAACATAACATTTTGTCATAATTCAGTTGTTATGAAAAGATATAAAAATTAGGGATTTTTATCAACGACCGATAAAAAAATGCTTACGTTAATTAAGCTTTACATGCATTTAACGTGTTGGGAATATTCAATAATAATTAGTAGATTTTGCAAAACAGAATACATCAAAAAATACAAAAAATTCATAAAACATCACGCACACAACAATAAAGTCGAATGTTCGGAAGCATCAACCATCCAACGAGTAGTGCGCGAGCGCATATAACTGTAAAATGATTTGTCTCCGACGAAATTATTAATCTACGTGTAATTACGACATTAAGTAACCCCCAAGTGTAATAACAAACGAGGAATATTTTAATGTTATAATTTAAGGAATGTCTATGAAAATTTGGTGAAAGATAGATTGGCCGTGGTGGACCGGTCAACTGGCCGGCGCGATCACCTATTTTCACTGCTTTAGACTTTCATCCCTGTGGTACGATTAAGCTATCAGTCCGTATTCCAAAAAAAAAAAAGACATGTGATACCGAGGCGAAAATGCGAATAGTTGCAGCTTTTGAAAAAGCAAAGTTTGAAATGTCTGTTCTGCAGCGCGTGCGTTCAAACTTTATAATATAATCCGGTGGCGCAAGTGAATAGAGGTACAGGGCGTACGTATCGAACAATACCTTCGTGGCTGTCATTGTAAAAACTACAAAGTAATTAACAACACACAACAAATTCGAAATAACACGGCAGCGATCACCTCATTCGCAGGAGTTATAGTAATGGTGTACTGACCGTTTCCCCTTCCAACAGTCGTGTGCGTAGGGCGCCACGTGCAGAGCGTGTATGGCGCAGGTGCCCGCCCACGGCAGCGATGCAGCCACGTCCGCACTCAGCCCTCGAGGACGCTTGCTCACGCGCGAACTGTCAAACACAACCTCACATGAAAACGTTAACGTGCTAGAGCAGTGCTTCTTAGCATTTTAGTAATAAGGGACCATTTAAACGATTGCCGTAAACAAAGAAAAATAAGGTTCTATAAATAAAATACTTTATAAGAAAATTGATGTGGAAAGAATTTTTTTTTTATGTAGAATAAGTGTAACAAGCGAACACACAGTACAGCTTGGTAAGTAAGTGGTTACTGTGGCCCATAGATATCTACATTATTATCTTGGATTAAGAATCAAAATAAAACGACTAAGATTGAATGCCTCGTATCTAGTAAAGTGTCTCCGGTTCTCTCCACTCACTATAAGAAACACCTACCCCGGTGGAGCCGACCCATTCGTGCTACGACGAATTATTCCACTTTTTCCCACCATTGCAACAATATAGCTACAGCATGGCTTTACCTGTCATGTCATTGTCCGCCCCTTATCTTAATGTACACAACACAGTACAGAAACCGTATCGACAATACACTTATCTTATTACATCTCCAAGAATTTGTATACTTTTCAATACGTGAAAGAATTGTATGATGCCGTCGCGGACTACTTCAGATGGCTGTAAGACCCACCACCAGTAGTCCAAGGACCACCGGTTAAGAACCACTGTGATAGAGCTACATAGTAGCTGTATTACGGCAGCACAAAAAAGTAACGATTATGTAAGTAAGTAAAGTAATGATTTGTACAAAGAAAGAGAGAAAGAGAAAAACAAGTAAATTACAATTAATAGAATCCGGCGTTTCTTTACGGAAATCAGTTATATTAAAGGTGTTAAAAGTTAATTAGCTAAGAACAGAGTAATAAAATAAAATGATGTGTCCTACCTAGTTTGAAGAGCACCCCCCACCGTCCCTCAATTGCGTGCACTATCCCGTCACCACTACTCCCACCACCACCACACCATAAAAAGCATACCACCGTTGATAATACGACACGTGTTTCGCTTCTAAACGAGGGATCCTCAGAGGAAGTAGACTCTGCGGTGGATGACCCCTAAGTGCGACCGAGTGTTAAGTGTGGCAAAGGTTGGGTGTACCTGCTAACTGCAAACTTCACGAGCAATTGTAGTGGCGATGACAGAGGTGGCTTTAGAAGATAGGTGTGGCAGTAGTGGCAGTTGCAGCTGGTGGCAGTGTACCTGCGCAGCATGAGCATCTCGCTGGTGGCGCCACCGTTTCATTCGCTGAGACACCCCCAACATCTCGTCGTCCAGTTGCAGCTGGTGGCAGTGGTGGCTGTGTACCTGCGCAGCGTGAGCAGCTCACTGGCGGCGCCGCCGCTCCACTCGCTGAGGCAGCCCCACACCTCGTCGCCCAGCTCCAGCTCCACGCCCGGCCCCGCGTCCAGCACAACGCCTGCACATCATCCAACACACTGTCGGTTACCATGCACACACTAGGTCCTCGGTTTCTAGCCTGAGGTTAATTACCCCTGCTAAGAACTGGTATCCTGCAGGGGTAATAAGCTGGTAATATCTTATAACAAAGATTAGATCAATAAGACCTAATCTAATTAGAAATTTCATGTTCTAACTGTATAATCAAATGACAAGTCGGGGCTTGCTCTCACATTACACCTAGTAAGTACATGTACAAGTACGAACATTGGCAAAGACTTCTGTGTACACTACTAGACGGGCAATTCCGAACTAAACCTATGTCACAGCTGTGGATCGCACGGTAAATATATCATGCAGTTGTATTTTAATTTACGGAAGCTACTGTTTTAGGCAAATACGAAATAAAATCTTCAAATCACGTTGACAAAGTGCACACATAAATAATGGCAGCGTTTTTAATCACATTGAACAGTCAGTGTTAGACTGTCAAAAACCGATCAAAAACGTTAAAGGCGACCGGTCAGATCCGTCCAACTACAAGCCTATCGCTATCACCTCCTTGTTTTCCAAAGCAATGGAAACCACTATTATCTGCCAGCTCATGCGGTACCTTGAGGATCACCAGCTTATTACCGACCGCCAGTACGGTTTCCGTCGAGGTCGCTCAGCTGGAGATCTTCTAGGTTACCTAACTCATAGATGTGCGGAGGCAGTGGAGTCCAAGGGGGAGGCGTTGCCGTTAGTTTGGACATAGCAAAGACCTTCGATCAGGTTTGGCACAAAACGCTTCTTTAGAAGCTGCCTTACCATGGGCTTCCAGAGAAACTGTTCAATTGGATCACCAGTTTTCTTGCTGATCGGAGCATCAAGGTCGTAGTAGACGGTGCATACTACAAGTACAAGCTCATTAACGCTGGTGTTCCACAAGGCTGCGTGCTATCACCAACGCTGTTTCTTGTGCATATCAATTACATGTTGCAAACCAGTAACATTCATTGCTATGCAGACGACAGCACTGGTAATGCTTTATACACCGGCCGTGACAATATTTCTAGAGAAATCGTCGCCGAGTACCGGAACAAACTTGGGGCGACTAAATCTAGCCCAGTTCAATCCCCAGGAGACACAAGTCTGCGCGTTTACCGCTAAAAAGAACCCCTTGCTGTATCTCCTCAGTTTCAAGGCACTCCCCTTGTTGCCTCAGCCAGTATCGGAATCCTCGGTGTCGACATATCTAGTGACGTGCAGTTTCGTGGTCACTTGGAAGAGTCCCCAGTGCCAGCTCCTTCCACTTGACCGCATACAGCGCAGAGCGGTTCGAATCGTCGACAATCGAGTTCTTTCCGATCAACTTGAGTCACTGGCACTGCGTAGAGATGTTGCATCTCTTTGCGTATTTTATGGCATCTATCACGGGGAGTTCTCTGAGGAACTGTTCGGACTAATTCCAGCCGCTCAATTTCACCATCGCACATCGCGACAAAACTTGCGATACCATCCATACCATCTGAATGATTGGCGGTCCACCACTGTGCGATTTAGAAGAAGTTTTCCTTCCTCGCACAACTTTCTTGTGGTATCGATTACCACCAGCGATTTTTCCGGACCGATACGACTTAGGACTTAGATCTTCAAGAAAAGAGCCTACTCCTTTTTAAAAGTCCGGCAACGCATCTGCAATTTTCCTGGTGTTGCAGTTGTTCATGGGCGGCGGTAGTCACTTACCATCAGGTGAGCCGAATGCTCGTTTGCCTCCTCTCCTATAAAAAAAACAACGTTCGCATTTTATAAAACAAAGAATCGCAGTCAACTAAAGGAATTATGGAGAACTAACCGTAAACAATGTATTAAAGCTGCAGAGCTGCGAGCGTGCGTACAGTGAAGTGCACAAGTACCGGCGAACCCGCGTCTAAAGCAAAGCTGCGGACGTGCGTACTGTGAAGTGCACAAGTACCGGCGAACCCGTGTCCGAAGCAGAGCTGCGAGCGTGCGGTCTGTGAAGTGCACAAGTACCAGCTAACCCTCGTCCAAAGCAGAGCTGCGAGTGTGCGTACTGTGAAGTGCACAAGTACCAGCTAACCCTCGTCCAAAGCAGAGCTGCGAGTGTGCGTACTGTGAAGTGCACAAGTACCGGCAAACCCGCATCCGATGCAGAGCTGTGAGCGTGCGTACTGTGAAGTGCACAAGTACCGGCGAACCCGCGTCCGATGCAGAGCTGCGTGGATGCTGCGAGCGCCCGCAGTGCTGCGGCGCGGCCACGCAGCACGCTGCGGTCGCAGGCGCACACGCTGAACGCCTGCACGCGCACTAGCACCTCCCCCGCACCAGCACCTAAACAAACATCAACTTAGTTTATTTTTATTAAAAAAAAACCACGTGTGCTCGTGTGTTCACACGTGGTAGAAGTTAAACCTTCAAATAAAATGAAATAATTAAAAATATTTCACGGCAAATGATTTATTTAATGTGATAGTGATAATTTAAAATTTTAACAGTGGTAGAGCCACGCGGCAGCTTTTGCTGTCGCACGGATGGGCCGGCTCGAACCGGGGTGGTACCACGACCTCACAGAAAACCAGCGTGAAGTAGAGGTTTGCCTCTGCGTTTCGCTTGGTGAGTGCAGGTGGCCGGAGGCCCTTTTTACTGGAAATGAGGCATTCCATCTTAGTCCTCACGGGTGACAACGCATCTACATTTTGATTTGTAATAGAGGATAGATGTAGATGTCTATGGGCCGCAGCAACCACTTACCATCAGGTGGACTGTGTGCTCGTTTGTCACCCTTATCCTATATAAAAAAAATTCAACCACAAGTGCAACACAAAATTTAAGATAAAAAGTTTATTTTATGGCAAATAAATGTTACAGTCATTACAGGACGCCAGACAACAGTAAAGTGCTCTAGTTTGCTACGAACGAGACTATTATATAGAATTTCATAATAAAATAGTAGAAATAGAATGTTTTGCTATTTCGTATGCCAAACCCAATCAGCCTTGAAGCTTTTTAACGATGTTTTAGTAACGAATTAAAAATGTCAGCATCCTGTCAAAAGTATCCTCTAAATTTTATAACCTCAACCTCTTGAATAATATACTTCTCCATTTTATAATTAAATGGAATAATATTTATTTTACTGGTAAATTGAAATTCTTTCAGATTTAGCGTTATTTGGTTATCTGTGCGCCAATCAATAATAGTTTTCAGATCCCTCTGCAATATATATTGAGTACTATTGGATTTATATGTCTCAAGAGTTTCAGGTCATCGGCATTCATAAAAACATAAAGAGTTAGTTAAGTAGTCTGGGATGTCAATAATAAAAAAGTTAAAAAAAAGGATAGGGCCAAAATGTGAACCTTGGGGCAAACCTGAGATAATACTAAAATTATCAGATCGAAAACCGTTGACAACAGCGTAAAAAGTTAGATCCTCTAGATATGATGACAAACATGTTAAAAAAGAACCTGCAAAAATGAGTTCATTGAGCAGGATATCATTAGGCACTTTGACGAAAGCTTTTCTAAAATCAGTATACAAAACAACAATCTGCTGTTTACGGTCGAAGGCTTGGACCAGATTCTCAACAAAGCTTGTTAAATTTGTTCATGTAGACCTGGATTCAACAAAACTATGGTGATTATCTTTGATGTTAAAGCTTAAGGTAATTTTGAGAGATACACTACAGCCTCAAAGATCTTTGCAAAAGTATACAAAATCGTTATTTAATTGCTAACCAAACATTCATCATCAGACTTGTATATTGGTACTACTATATTATGGTTGTAGCACGAATGCGTCGGCTCGACCGGAGTAGGACCACGCTCTCACAGAATACCAGCGTAAAATAGCACCTTAATGCTACTGTGTTCCGTATGATGAGTGTAGAGAACCATTTAACATTCCATATTAGCCCTCAGGGTTGACAACGAATCTGCATTTTGATTCTTAATCAAGCATAAATGTAAATGTCTATGGGCCACAGCACCCACTTTACTATCAGGTAATCTGAATAAATTCACACTCGCCTGCCAGAGGCTCCCTTCTTCACATGCCATCGAGTAGCTAGAGTTAATTTTGCTTGCAATCACGAAAATTGGAATGACGAAGCTTGGAGTTAAGTTTTATTCACAGAGTCCAGATTTTGCCTGAAGTCAGATTATGGAAGGATTAAATCGTGAAGCTGCCCGGCAGACATGTACGCTCAAAGCAACATCATTGGAAAAGAGGCGTATAGAGGAGGCTCAAGATATGTGTAGGAGTAAAAATGGGTCATTAACAGTATGTAACTTAGATTTTGGAAAAAATTGTAGTGCCATTTGACTCTTTAATAGGAGATACATTTGTTTTTATGCATGATAATGCACGCCAACATACTGCGACCGTAGTTGTAGAATACCATCGAGACGTTGAAATCAATGCTAAGGGGTGGCCAGCGCATTTACTCAACTTACACTCTATAGAGTATGCATGGGATAAGCGTCGAAAACAAATTAAGAAAAAAATCCTGCCACCGCTAATTTGAGAAATCTTAAAAACGCATAATAGGAAGAATAAAACGCAATCTCTCAAGATTTTATTGATAACTTGATTAGGAGTACGCCAAGAAGACTGGAAGCAGTTCGAAGAGCAAGAGGAGGCAACAAAATACTGATTATATCCCACGTTACAGCCTTTCCTAAGCATTTATAAAAAAAAATGTTCGTTCTTTGTTCCAAAACATTTGTAAGGTACAAACTTCCCATAAAACATTATAAAAGACCCTAAGCATTCCATTTAAATCTGTTAGATCACTAAACATTTCAACTCAGTGTAGTTTTGATAAGTGATCTTTGATTGAGTAGTAGTTAGTATTGTACGGAAGCTTTTTATCTACAGTTAGAGAAAGTACTACTCGTATATCCAAAGGGGGATTTTTGGGACTTTTAGGGACTGTTTGTTAATTTTGCTAAGGACATTTATTTATCTTTTTTTTTCTTTATTGCACCAAATATTTGTACAAAAGCCGAGCTTAATGTTATATGGCATTATCTACCAGCTAACCTTGGGTAGAACAGAGAGTGAGTTTGGGCAGTTAACTTGTTACGATCAAATTCTATTCAAATATATACATGCAAAACATACATAAACTATACACATATAAATAAAATATATGTATAATTGATACACATATATAAATAAATACGCGCATATTATATATATATCAATAAGTATCGTAATAAATAACTACAAACATATAAAGTAATTAGACTCAACTTTATAGGCTACGAATACGCTCGTATAATTTTCTTTAAAAACATTTTTGACAGGTATTTTTCGCAGGTCAACAGGCAATTTGTTGCAGAGGCAGTAACTGTGAAGGAATTTGACATAAACCCAGAATGGTGGAGAGGAGTAGACAGGAATAAACTGTGTGAAGAACGGATATTGATGAGTGTCACTACGGAATTGTAATATTTCTTTTAGATAAAGAGGTAAGGATGAATCATTAAGAACTGAATACAGAGAGGACAGGATTCGGAAATCTCTGCGCTGGCGTATAGTCAACCACTTTAACTCAGAGCGAAATTCTGAAACGTGATCATATTTGTGCAGGCCAATGATAAATCGAATAGTTGTTAAATAACCTGTCCAACCTATTTAGCAGCTCCTGAGAATTTTAGAAAGAAAATTAGACAAACATCGGCATAGTCAAATAATGGAAGAATTAGAGATTGAACGAGAAGACGTTTAGTTGAAGGAGGCAGAAAGAACTTAAGGCGATAGAAGGAACGAAGTATGCCTGTGACTACCTCGAACACCGGTGATATCCAACTAAGAGACGGGTCGATAATTAAACCCAGATCCTTGACACTCGCAGTTTTCATAGTGAATGGATGGTAGTTCAAAGACTACCAATGACGATAGCCTGACCAGACCGAACAGCCTGCTGGCGACCGCGAAGATAAGAGAAAACCCAGTTCAGTGCTGACGAGGAGAAATTTAGTCGTGAAAGTGATTCAAGGAGTAAGTCATGATCGACACAATTGAATGCGTTTGAGAAGTCAATAAGGACAAGAACAGTCAAACATGACCTCCCCATGCCATTTCTAAAGTCTTCTGTAACTTGAAGTAATAAGGCGGAAGCCAGACTGATATATACTAAGGAAATTGAAAATGAAAGAGGTGACATGTTTTTGTACCAATGATTCAAGTGCTTTGGAAAGGAACGACAGTATAGAAATAGGTCTAAAATGGGAAGAAGCGATGGATTTGGTACTTTAGCAAGGGGCAAGACAAAAGCTTTTAGCCATACCTTGGGGGGAACACCAGAAATTGATGATGTGAGTGAGAACTGGATTACATAATGATATACTACGCAGTGCCAGTGTATCGAGCCGATCAGAAAGAACTCGGTCGTCGACGATTTGAACCACTCTGCGCTGGATGCGGTCAAGTGGAAGGAGCTGGCACTGGGGTGCCCCGGCCCAGATATGAGAACAGTATTCCATGTGAGGCCGAACTTGCGCTTAGTAAAATTGCAAGCGATGTGCCGACATGAAATACTATCTCGCTCTGCTGAGCACGCCAAGCTTTTTAGAGGCCAATTTGGCCTTCCCTTCCAAGTGACCACGAAACTGCACACTATTCGATATGTCGACGCCGAGGATCCCGATGCTAGCTGAGGCAGCAAGGAGTGTCTTGAAACTGAGCAGATATAACAAAGGGGTTCTTTTTAGCGGTAAACGCGCAAACTTGTGTCTTCTGGGGATTGAACTGGACTAGATTTAGTCGCCCCCAATCTGAGACTTTGTTCAGCAAAGACTCGACTTCAGACACAAGTTTGTTCCGGTACTCGGCGACGTTTACCCGAGAAATATTGGCACGGCCGGTATATAAGGCATCACCAGTGCTGTCGTCTGCATAGCAAGGAATGCTACCAGTTTGCAACATATCATTGATATGCAGGAGAAACAGCGTTGGTGATAGCACACAGCCTTGTGGAACACCAGCGTTGTTAGGCTTGAAATCAGAGCATGCACCGTCTACTACGACCTTGATGGTCCGATCAGCAAGGAAGGAAGGAGGATAACGCAAATTACGTCACGGAACATTTAACACCGGCCCTTAAAGATCTTCACTTAGTAAGAAATGGACGTATCTTTGTTCGTAAATCTGCTGATTCAGACTACATATGGATTAGGGATACTAAGTCTTTAAGTAAAATTGTTTAAACTTAAGTCTTTATTTATTTTTTAAATTAAATGAACATGTTATTAATCTACAAATATAAAACACGATACTTTGAAATTGTATTATAAAAATGCCCGTAGTTTGAAAGCAAAAACTCA